GGGTGATGTAAAATTAATTATATATATATATATTTTATATTATAAGTATTTCTAATGAACATATTATTCAATAATATTTCTATTAATATTCATAATTCCCAATGGTGGGATGAAACTTTCCAATTCCAACTTGTTTAAGTTTTTCAACTTCTTCTACAGTAGTTGGAATTCTAAATTTTAATATGAAATCATGGAAATTATATGCAGTGCTTTTAGGATCATCTTCTTATATGCTATGACCTGTATTCTATAACACAATTAATCTAAATTTTCCTTGCATCTAAGCTACTGTAAGATCTTTGTCTAATCTCTCTTTCTCAGCTAACATTAATATTTTAGGTATTCTTATTTGTAAAAATGAATTTGTTAATCCTTCAAACCAACCCATCCAATAAGGTGCTGTTTTCAATAAATCTACCTTCCAATCTAAACTTATTAAATTTCCATTTTAATCTCTGATTTCTTTCAATTATTCAGGTATTGATACTCTGGCTGATGATAAAGTCATTAATGTTGATGTATTCAAACTCCATTAAATTGCTTATTCATAAGATTTAAAATGTTTAGGTCTATTATTTACAATCTATTCCATAAATGGTAATGCTTCAATTGCACTGCCTTCTACTACATCAATAACAATTAAACCTATTAAATATATATATATATATAATATACCCTAAACCTTATCTGCTTTTTATGAAGTTATTAATAAATTTGCAGATTTTGCTGCTATAGCTCCTCCCATAGAATGACCAACTAATATTACTGTTTATTTTGGCCATTATGTTGTTACATAATCAAATATTTCAACTACATCATCTAACAATTACTAAACACTTAGATTTGGATTTTCTAATTCTATTTTTGATTAACCATCTATTATTTTAGTTAGATTTTTTTACGTCCTCTGAAATCAAATGAAATCAATGTAGCATATTATTTGACTTCGTTTGCCAAGTTTGCAAATGACATTGCAGAATGTCCAGCTCCATGTAAACATAAAAATATTGGTGCTTTATTTTTTCCAGCTATGTATATTGGTGTTCCCTATTTTATTTCTATTTTCTTACATTTGGATGGAATATCATCTCATCATAAAACTCATTCCACTTCTAAGGAGAATAATCATGTATCTTTTTAGTTACTTTTGTTTATTAAGGATTTTAATGATGGGCTTATTATATTTATAATTATACAATGAGTTATATTATGATCTGCTTTTATTGGTTATGGTTTAGATCCTTATAATTTTACAGGAATTGAATTCTTACTATTAATAATTTGATCATTCAATTTACTTAAAATCTACATCAAATTAATCTTATTCCTCTTCTTTCTCATCATCATCTTCATCTTCATCTTTCAATATTAATATTATATATACTTTGCATCTATTTCTTTGGAACAGGTGGTTTCTACTTTTATTACCCTTTTAAAGTTTACTTAAGTAAATCACTCATATTTTAAGATTTTAATTTTATTAATAAAAGATAATAAATAATAAGCAACTAATTCCAAATAATATATATATAAATATATTTTATTAAAAATCATATGATTACATAGATATTTTATTGTTTTTGTTATTAGATTACATAAAATATACTAGTAAGGTCAAATAAGAATGAAATATTTTATATCAATTATTAAAATAAAAATTAAGATTAAAATCAATATGAATATGAATTTTATAATTGTTATTAATAATTTAGAGATGAATAAATATAATTACTAATACAGATGGAATATGCTAACATTTTGCATTTGGATTCCTATGGGAAATTATTACAATTATGATATTCCAACATCATTATACAATTCATTTAAGAGTTATTTATCTCCAATACTCTCAGATAATCAATTTGAATTTTATTATGGATTACTATTTAGTTTAACTTCATTTGTTAATATATTCACTCCTTTCATTAGTGGAAGTATTATTTCATCAAATTAATTAAGAATTAAGAGATTAATATGGAAATAGAATTGCCTTATTTGTTTTATTATTTCTAGTTTCTTTAGGATAATTTATATTCATTTAAGGTTTCATTCATTATAACTTATATTATATCATTATTGGTCGAATTCTTATAAGTATTGGAATTGAACCATGTGGAGCAATTCAAACTAGTCTGCTTTCTTAATATTTCAAATTTGATCATATTGTATAAATAAATTATTTATTAGGCATTAGTTGTTGGTTTATGTGAGTTATTTGCTTCTTTTGGAACAATCTCAGTTATGTATTTTGCACCTAAATTAGCAGCATAATATAATCTGATATTTGCTATATAGAGTGGTAGTTTTGCTATTGCAATGAGTGTAGTATGTTGTATCATAACTATTGTCTATGATATAAATGCAGAATATGTTCAATAAGAAAATTCAATTTAGAATGTTGAAATTAGTAAACAAATCATAAAATAAGAGAATTTCCCATTTATATATTGGATGATCATTATATACAATATGTTACTCTTTGGATCATTACTTACTTTTAGTAATTTTTCGGTTGGAATATTAACTGAAAGATGGTATACAGATAATGAATCAGCTGAAGAAATGGCAGGTAAAATGATGGCCATTATGTGGGGGATATCTTCTTTTCTCACTCCCGTTTTTGGTTTCTTAATAGACAAATATAAAAATAGATCCATATTTGTAAGTTTATTGAATATCATAGAATATTTGTGCTTCATGTCTTGGTTTTTTAGGTTTAGTATAACTTTGGTATTATGCACCTTTTTTAGCAATTAATTTATTGGGAATATCATATGCTATTATGTGTGCTAGTGTTTGGTCTAGCATTGTTTATATAATAGATGAAACAAATTTAGGTACAGGTTATGCTTATCTATTATCATCATGTAATTTCTTATTATCTATTTTACCTCTATCTATTAGTTTGATTAAAATTAGAACAGCTAGCTTTTTCATTTCAGTTATGATGTTAGCAATCTTAATTTTCATTACAGTCTTATTAGGAATTTATATTTATTTTTTAGATAACTAAGAAAATAATATTCTTGATGGGAAAATACTAACAACCAATAAATCATATGAACAATTAGAATAAGATGAAATTTGAAATTAAAATATAAAAGAAACTTATATTATTATTATTTTAATCAAATTTTTATAAGTAATCTTTTATAATCTCGATAAATAATAACGAGTCAATACAACTTTCTTTAATATTGGACATTTATAAGTATTTTTTTTTTAAATTTGTTACATCTAAGAAATCCTATTTAAATAACTATTCTGTATAATTTGTAGATTGCAATTCTGCTTAATTTTTAGTGAATTGATAGATTTATTAAGACAAATTATGTTCAATAATTAAATTTCTTTCTAAAATGAGTTTGAATTTTGATTATTAATAAATATATCCTTTGTTTTTGATTTCTATAATTCTTAAATATAAGAATATGGACTTCATAGAATTTACATTTTAATTAATTATCAACAACAACTTTTGTAATTGTTATTTTTAGTTTATTTGTCTTTAAAAACAATAAATACATTAGAGAATATGTATATCAATATAATAATCTATAGTTTTTATGTTTAACTTAATTTATATGAGAGTTTATTATACTATATAACTTTATTTTTATAATATGTATATATTTATATATGAAGACGACTATAATATATAAAATATTGAATTTAATAAATTGCAATGATGGATTAGACTCCTTCTACAATTGATATTTCTGAAATAGCCTAAGATGAAGAACAATAATACCAATCCTATATTAGATAGGAGAGCACTATGGAAAAGAAACTGTAGTACTCAATTTCAGCTAATAATCAAATAAAGGGAATTAATTTATAGGATATATATAATAAAGAAGGATGGCTAATGAAAAAGAGTCCTAAATTACTTGTAGGATGGCAAGTAAGATTTGAATTTTATTATTAATTCCTTAGAAACGATACGTTAAGATTTATGATGGAAAAATGTAATATTTTAAAGGTTTAGACAAATTCAAGGGATGCATAGACTTTCATTTGATATCAGTTTCAATAACTCCTATAATGAAGAATAATGAAATACATGAAATAAGGTAATCATATATATTTATAATTAAAAGACTGGAATTGAAAGGAATAAAAAAGATATTTTAATTTAAGAGTATAGAACGAAAAGAATTAGATGATTGGTATCGTTGTATTTAATAACATATTTTGATAACATAATTCTATCCAAAAATTACACCTTTGAATAATGAATCTATGTGGAGATTTGAGAGAATATCTGAAACTTATTTTAGAAAGAAGGCTGATACTGGTGACATTCTATTATTTAGGTAAATATATAAATTAAAATTTCTTAGGGGATAATCTTCATTAAGTAAAATTTAAAGAGCATTCACTGGAGATAACTTTGATCATGTAGCATTATTACTTCGATATAATAATGGAGAACTATTTTTATTTGAATCTATGGGATAAACAGTAACAATCAATTTTGAAGATCTAGGGTGTTAGTATATTGAGTTGGGATACTTTTATGAGAAACAATTGGCACACTTTGTATTAACAAATGGTATATAGATAATTAGAAGTAAATAGATCAAATGAATTTCTTGAGAAACTCGAATAATTTGTAAAGGTTTTCTTCTATATATTATATATTGTTAGGGATCAATTGGTAAAAGATATCAAATGTCTCCTAGTAAATTGATTAAAAGATTTACAAAATCAAGTGAATCTATTGATGATCTAGAAAAAGATGATAAGACTTTTTTTTGTTCAGAATTAATAGCAGCAGCGTAATTTTATCTATGAATTTAGTTATAAAAAAATGGGAATCATAGATGCAAATAGATGTGCTGCATCATATTGGCCAGGTATTTTTGCATAGAATTCAAAACTTCAATTAACAAAAGGAAATTTGAAATAAGAACAACTTATAGATTTTTCTTTAATTTGAAAATAATTGTGATAGATTATTTAATAATTAAAAATCTTTTTGTTTTTTTAAAGTTAAATCAATATAAACATTCCAATTAATGTCTCATTTCTTCTTAAATTAAATCTATTTCTTTTTATTAATAATAATTCCAAGTTCTTAATGAATATGGTCCAATTCCATAAAGACTTTAATTTTATTGATCTAAAAGAATATTTTACATATTAAAATTTGGAGCATATAATTCATCACTATATCTCATTTTTGATTATGAATTATTATAAATCTTTACAATAGAATCATTTTTATCTTAATGTAAGAATAAGATTTCCTTAGTCTCTTATGAAATTATCATATCTAAAGGGTTGCTTTACAATTTCTTATGAAATAGTACTTCATTCTTTTATAAATTCCATAATAAACATTCATTAGTATTTAAACTTGAATATATGATGTTATTAGTATTACTAGGACTGAATAATGCTTTTAATGAATTATGACTTATTTATTGATAGCTAAATTATTCTACTTTTGGATTTCTAATATCTAAATGTATAAAACCATTAGTCATAGTAACTAAAACATTATAATCATTCACATCAATATATTTAATCATTTAAATATCTTCCAAACATAATTCATCTAATTATTTAAAAGTAGGAAATTCTTCTTCCATATCCCCTTTTATTTAATCATATTCTTCATCTAATTAAAAATTGGTTTCATTGAATAAATTTGGATCTAAGGGTTTTGTCAAAGGACTTTCTATTATTGAATTTCCAAATCTAGGTAACATTGGAGATTAAATAGAGTTAGCTCTTAGAAATTGTTTTTTGTTATTTTATAAAGTAAGTGATAAACATTTTGTTTCATTCATTCTTTCATCTAGAATTAATAATTCCTAAATTAAATAATAAAAATTACATTGTTTTTAGTACCAATAAAGATATTTTATTTAGATTAAGTAATAAATATTGGTTAAGAATGCTATTATAAATTACAATTATATTAATTATTTAACCCATAATAATGATAGACTTGATTTTTAAAATAGTTCCATCCCATCACATTACCCTTATCTGTACCTGTGATAATCATTTCATCTGAAAAATTCTTATCACAAATACAAAATGAAAGAAATTTTGCATCATGTTCAGGTAAATCACAAATTCTCTCAGTTCTAAATGTATCATTTATAAGTTCTATTCTTGAAAGATGATTCCCATTATTTATTAATATACCATTTTATTATTTCAATGCTACAAAATTATTTAAATCTTGTCTACATTAAGAATAAGAACCATCAAAAGCAGAAAAATATTAAATATTCTATTTAATTAATTTTATATTTACTTTTCTTATAATTCTTAGATCATCCATCAATTAATGAAATTTCTTATTTATTTTTGGATCCAATTACTTCTATTTAGGTTAATTTTCTTTTCTTTAAACCAAACCCTCAATATAATTATGACTTTATAATTTTTTTGGTGTTTCTTCACTTGATAATATATGAAATGGTTTTTATTGACTTTTTTTTTATTTCTCTAAAAACTTCTCCAATTTAGATATTTTTCTTAAACTCTCCTCTGTATACTTAGATTATTTAATTAGAGCATCAGAAAATGTTACAGGTTCCAAATTATTTGTTCCAATTCTACTACAACCCTAATATCCTCTATTCACAGGAGTTTTTGATAATACTTCATCTCTTTCCTAGAATTAATAATTAAATATAAATACAATTTCTTTATAAGGAACTGCAAGACATCTTGGAGTATTAAAGATAATATTCTGCTAATTGTAGATAGATGTTTTATTTAATTTAGCTGAGATTGTTTAGGCATGAGTAAAGCTTTAATATTGAAATGCATTAGGCATTGGTGATTCTTCACATGAAAATTCTGATATTACAGATGTAGTCGATGATTTAGGTACATTATGTTTAAATTTCACAGAATTGTTTTTCATTTTTATTATTCTTTTTTAACTTCTGAATCTCAGCTTTTTAGAAATCTTGAGACTGAAATTAACCTTTTTTCACTAAAAAATGTATTATATATAAACTACTATATTTTTATAATTTAAAATAATTAAATTTAAAATTCCATAACATTTATATTAATAAGAATTTTTATATTTATTTTAAATTATATGATTTAAAATTCAATATTTTTAGATCATAAACAATATTTTCTTTTATTATTTATTCTTTGATATTATTTATATCTCTTTAAAATACTATACTAGGCATGCTAATCTTCACTTTGTATTTTTAAGTATTTGCAGGTACTTCATATCTACAAATGAAGTTGATTTTTGTTAATTAGATAATCTAATAAAACTAAAATTAAAACATCTGTAGAAATCTTATGATAATTATAAAAGTTTTAATCTAATTAAAATAAAATATTATAGGAATTAATAAATATCAACTTAGTTAATTATCATACCTTATTAGATAAATATTTAATATTGTATGAAATTAGTATTATATAAAATAAGGACTAATTAAAATAAAATAATAAAAATTAGATATATAAAAAAATATAAAAGTTAATATTTCCATTAATATATTAAAATAAGATTTACTTCATTTTTTTTATTTTATTTTAATAATTCCTTTTCTTTGTGAATCTGATTATTATTAAGGTTATTTGATTGATGAAAAAAAGTCTTTTTAAGAAGTAAAGTAATTAAATTAATCATTGTTATTGTCATTATTTAAACTTTAATTCAAATTTTATTGATTGAATGTAGAATTTACAATTTGATCATCAATTTATACATTATTCCTTTAAATTTAAATTCTAATTTTCACTTAAGATGGAGTAAAATTAATATCTGGTTATTCTAATTACTTTTTATTTTCAGTCTCACATATTAATTTAGATTCTAATTATTATTATTATAATTATGATTATGATTATTATTATTACTATTATTATTATTACTATTATTATTATTATTATTATTATTATTATTATTATTATTATTATTATTCAGGTATTTCTTATTCTTCTATATCATATTAAGAATCAGATTTTAGTTTTTCTAATTATTTTTAGCATTTAAGACCAAATAGTTTAAGATTTCTCTTCTTTACTTCTGATTATTAACTATTTTTTTCTTCAGTTATTATCTTTTAACTGGGAGTTTGAAAATTATTATCAGTTCTATTATAAAATGCTTTAGCCTATTTAAGAATGTCATCATCATTAACCCATGGTTTGATTGCTGGTTTAACCCATTCAGATAGACCTTTTTTAATATCACCATATTCAAATCTCTTATCACACAAAAATACAATTCTTAATAATAATAATAATTTAATACCCATAATCATTAATATGTCTAATAACTCTACCTAATGCTTAATTAGTAGCTCTAATTGCTTATTAACAATACCATTCTTAACTTTTTAATCTATCTTATTCATTAAATTCAGGATCATTATATACTTTATCTAAATATTCCATTTTCTATGATACTTTATGATCCTATTTTGGAGGATAAGGAACTCCAATTAGAAATACTGCTCTACATAATTCATCAGAGAAATCAATTCCTTCAGCTACTTTACCTCTTTATACAGCAAACATAATGGCTCCTTTTTTTGAATGTTATTTATATTATTCAAAAACATTTTACATTTCTGCTGTCTATTATGGTTCCCATAAACAATGTTTGATTTCATTTAATCTAAACAATATTTTACTAATTGTTAATTTGCTTCTAAATTTATACATAAGACTATAAGATGAAAATATAACCAAAATTCCATTTGGTATAACATATGAAAGATTCAATAGATTTGAACCTAATTTATTAAATTATTCATCATTATTTCTTTAATTAAAAGAGAAATCAAATTATTTATGTTAAAAAACAATAAGGTTTTATTAAATATTGATAATGTGTGGACTTTAAAATTATGTTTAGAAATTCATTCTTAATTCACATGTCCATGATTACATAGGAGATAATGTACCTGATGTTAATAAAACAGAATGAATATTTTTTTTTAATATTCTTTAAAATGCTAATGATGGTTCTAAACACCACATATAAATAGAAATAGAATTTGTTACATCTATTACAAAAGTTAATTTATATTAATTAAATTAATTAAGTAAAGAAGATAAAGATAATTTTAATTTTTCTCTTTCATCTTCAACTCTAATTAAATCATAAACATTCATAATGAATTTAATCCATGATTCAAAATTATGAGCTGGAAATTATGATAATTCACTCATAACATCTATTAAAATCAAACAATGTTATAAATATTTAGCAATATTATTTCTTGTAATTCCTTTAGCATAATTAGTATATATTGAATCATTCCATAATCTAAATGTATTATCTTAATCTGATGTATATTGAAAGACTAAATTTTAAATTTAACGAGCATCTAAAATTTAATATTTTTCATTTGTATCCTATAATGTAAATATTGGTTATTATTTTAATTATTCTAAATATTATGAAAATGTTCTTATTGTAATAACAATTGATCTATATTCTTTTAATTCATTAGATATTTTTTCCTAATTTAATTTAACTTTTAATTATTCATAAAATATAGGTATTGTTTCTAATTCATCTATCCATTTTTCTAAATCTTTTTCAGCTTCAATAATAATATTTTATGTTATAAAAAAAGATGATCCTTCTTCAGCTGTTGATTATACATTATGTGCTTCATCAAATATTAAAATTGAATTATCAATATTTACATAATCTTAAAATTCTTTTTCTAATAAATAATTATATGGTAACAATATTATATCAGCATCTTCTAATCTCTATCTCTCAAAATAATAAGGACAGATTTTATTTTTATATCCAAATTATTTAGCTTCCTCTAAATTATTTATTAAAGTCTTATATTATTATGCCATAAACATAACAATATCTTTTTTAAAATATTAACATTGATTTGCTTTTACTACTTTTCTACAATTTTAATTTAAAAGATTTCCTTTAATATTATAAAAGTCCCCTCTTAAACAATATTAATCTCTTGAACCTAACATTGATACATTAGGTCTATAAACTGTTTTCTTTAATTCTTATGCAACTTATTTTAATTATGCATGAGTTCTTGAAGCATAAATAATTTTTAATTTAATTTGATTATTTGATTTTTATTATTCTTTTCTTTATTTCTATAACCAACCTAAAGATGAACACAATAAAGATAAAGTCTTTCCTGTTCCAGTTGGAGATTCTAATCTAATTTTAATAATTAATATTATTAATATACAATGCATTATATTTTTTATCTAATGCTTATACAACACTATCCATATACTTAACTTAAACATCATATGGTTTATGAGGGAAGTATATTTCAGTATTTCCTAAAGTTATTGACTATTATTATTTGCATAATTCATTATCAAGTTCTATTTCTTATAATTTACCTTTTCCTGTAGGATCAGACTCATCATCAATCAATTAATGATGTGATTTACTTTTAATATTCTATGACATTGAAATTGATGGATTCATAATTAAAATAATTCATTTATTTTTTTGGTTCAAACTAACAATATATATTTAACAATTACAAATTTAAATTATGAATTAAACTACCCCTAAATCCATTGGAATCAATTATGCAAGTAAATAACATATATTGAATATTAGAATTAAGAAAATAAAAAGGAAAGGAAGAAACTCTACCAAAATCAATGAGCACTAATCTAAAATTTGATATTTATTAGAATTATTAACATGGCATACTGAAACATAGAAGTACTTCATAACATAATATTAATGAATACACTTAATAATAATAATAAATGCAATTATTTGAATAATATTTCAATCATTCTAAAATTTCATTTACTTTTATAGAATTTGTAACCAAATAAATATAGTATCATAACTAACCAATATAAGTATAGTATTATTTTTATTGAGAAATTGATTAATCCCAATATTTTTAAGAATAGTTAAAGAAAATGGGAAGAAGAAAGAAGAAAGATTCTATATGAATTAAATTAATAAAAGGAAGATAATTGTATATTGTAAACTGAATTGCATGATCTAAAAAGATAAAAAAATACATTGTCAAAATAATGTGATAATTTATAGGTTATTATTGTATAAGAAAGATTGGGAAAACAACAAAGACATTAATAATTTTATTAACATAAATTTTAAGAACTTACTAAAAATTTTCATATACCAACCTAAGAAACTATATCATCATTAACTGATGAAAGAGTATTATCTATTACAATTATAGTTCGAAAGCAATGAAACTTCTCTTGATTCCTCCTTATCTAATGAAGATGATGATCCATCTATCTATTCTAATTAATTATTCGAAATCCTTCAGACTGGTAAACATAGATATCAGTTTTCCAAAAAACTTAATTGATATTAATTAAATTAAATATAAACATTAATAATATACTTAAATACATGACTAATTTGAAATTATTTTACCTTACTGCATATCAAAATGTCATTATTGTATGTTAAATCTTACTCTTATTAGATTAAATCTGAATTACCATAAATTACAACATAATTGAAGATTCATCGTAATTCTTAAATTATTGAAGAATGTCCTAAAAATTAAAATGTAAATGAGAAACTTAAAGGAGATAAAAGAGTATCCTACATTTTAGGAATATTTAAAACTTTTAATAAGTCATTTCTAGTATTAGTTGAAGAATGTACAAAAGTTGCAACAATAAAAGAATAAATCATATATTAAATAGATTAAGTTTCATATTATGCAATTGAAGTATTATTTTAATTCATTCCAGGATTAAAACATTTAGAATAAAGATATCTTAGAGAGTTTAGGAAATCAAAAGAAATTATTATAATAAGGATTTTATTTTTCCATAAATGGTGATATTACCCTTGCAAGACATTTTAACAAATTTGAAAATAGTTTTGTTTGGAATTAGAAATTATTAAGTGGATTTAGAGAAAATAAACTTTCATCTAGTTGGTAATTACCTATGATTTAAGGATATGTAGAATAAATAGAATCATATATAGACAAATAATTAATTACTGTAGTTTTGATATCTAGAAGAAGTAGATTTATGGGAGGAACACGATATTATTCAAGAGGAATAAATGATGATGGACATGTGGCTAATTTTATAGAAACAGAATAGATTCTAATTAAAGGAGAAATTATAATCAGTTTTGTTGCTATACGTGGTTCAGTACCTATATTTTGGAATCAAGATGGTGTTTCAAGTATAAAATTGACAAGATCAAAAGAACTTACATAAGCTGCTTTTGTAAAACACTTTAATTTACTTAGAAGATATGGTTAAATATATTGTGTTAATTTAATGTAAAATAATAAATAAATTGAATAATTATTAACAGAGAATTTTTATTATTAATATTAATAAAGTTAATTAGATCATGTTAAATATTAATAAATTGATTTTCATGCTCATATAAAAAATGGTAAATCTACAGGATTAAATTTATATATATAATAATTTAAAAACACACTTGAATAATATTCATAATATTATGAAAAAGATCATTAAATAGTTAATTAATAGAAAGGTGTATTTAGAATAAATTGTTTAGATTGTTTAGATAGAACTAATTTATTTATGAGTAAACTATTTTTATTTAGTTTAAATTTATCTTTAAAGGATGAAAGGTTATAATTGAATTATAATGATAATGATGGTATTTTAAATTAATTTGATGAATCAAATAAAAAGTTATTACATGATCTCATTATTAAATATAAAAATATGTGGGCTAATAATGGTGATTAATTGAGTTTCTTATATTCTGGATCAGGAAGTACTATATCAGAAATGGCAAGAGAAGGAAAAAGGGGATTTATGGGTATGCTTAAAGATGGATATAATAATATAGAAAGATTTTATAATCGTTAATTTGAAGATGATACTAAATAAAATACAATAAATTAATTATTAATAGGATCAGATGTTAATACTCATTTTGATAAATGGATAATTGAATAAGAAAAATAATATTGTGTAAATCATGAAATATCTGTATTGTTAGTAACTTGGAATGTTGGTGGAAATCATCCTATAACAACTGATTTTTCTAATAATATCCTAAATTTATAAGATAATAAATTATCAAATCCAGATATTATTGTATTTGGACTTTAAGAAATTGTTGATTTAAATCCATAAAATATTGTTATTATGAGTAATGAAAAAACAATTTAATTATGGAATAATATATTTTAACAAAATCTAGAAAAATTAGAATCATATGCTAAAATTGCTGAATCTGATTTAGTAGGTTTATACATATCTATTTTTGTTAAAACATCATAAATTTCAAGAGTAACCAAAATTGAAACAGATGTAGTCAAAACTGGATTAAGAGGAACTCTTGGTAATAAAGGAAGTGTACTTGTTAAATTTAAATTTGATGATTCATTAGTATATATATATATAATTATTTTAGATTGGATTCAATTGTTGTCATATGACTTCAGGTAATAAAAAAAATTAGTATAGATTATAAGATATTGAAGAAATTCATTCAAAAGCATTTTAAAATTCAAAATATAAAACTAATTTGAATAATTTAGATTATTCATTTTTTTTTGGAGATATGAATTTTAGAATTGATTTATCTTATCAAGATACTGTTGATAAAATTAAATCATATTTATCATATATCTCTAAAGATTAAAATCATCCTTAAGCTAAACAAATATTATATTATTTGATTAATTAAGATTAATTAATTAAATCTAGAGCATAAAATCAAAATTTATAATACTATTAAGAAGGTGTTATAGACTTTTTACCAACATATAAATATGATAAAAATTCTTAAATTTATGATACATCCAAAAAATAAAGGACACCTTCTTGGTGTGATAGAATTTTGGCTAGACATAAAGAAGGAACTAAACTTGAATAAAAATTTTATAAAAGAAATGAATGTTTAGATAGTGATCATAGACCAGTATCAAGTTATTATGTAATCGAAGTTAAAAAAATTGATAAAGATAAATTAAATTAGATTAAAGCATAATATTGTCTCTCCAAAATGTAATAATCTAAATAAAATTAATAAATTTCTAATGAATAAACAAAACCATAGTAATAGTAATAATATTTTGATTAAGGTAAATAGGATGAAAATTCATAATTTATTATATAATAATAATCTGATAATTAAAATATTGGTTAATAATAATAATAATAAAAAGAAATTAATGATTAAACTTAATAGAACTAAGAGTATTCACTTTAAACAATATTAACTAAGAATTAACCAGATTAAATTACATAAGAGTAACTTTAGTGATTTTTAAACAAATAATATTTTATTTATTTAACCCATAACATTTTATTTTTATTATTCAAAACAATTTGGTTTGCTAATGATTTATAAATCTCTTATGAGTCTACTTTTCCATCAAAATATAATATTTAATTTGAGTATTTGTTATAAGAATTTCTTCCTTTTTAATCTATTTGATATTCTAAATACTTTCTTAATTATTTAAAAAACTTTTTATTAATAATATATTGAATATCAATCCAATTTCTGCTTTAATTTATCCCTTTCATACATAATCAATTTTTATTGAATTTTTCCCTTTAATAATTAACATATATTCTTGTAAGCTTAGCTTATTCTTTTTGATTAATATTGATCGACAATCTATGATGGTTAATTCAGTAATTGATTTGAAATCGTTATTCAAGTTTTTATAATAAATTAAGTAAACATTTATTATTTATACTACGTATGACTTAGATCTCCTAGGAATACAATTTAGAATATTTGGGTAGGTAAATGATACATTAACTTTAGACAAAGCTTCAGACATTACTAAAGTTCAAATTTAGTAATAAAGGCAATTAATTACTATCATAAGTGTAAATGATAAAGATGCAAGGGATATAATATATTATCTGTAAGATAGATAAAGCATAGATATATCATAAATATCTCTTAAGAAAAGAATTAAATAATTTATATTGAGTTTACCAAAAGTTTCCAATCCAAATTCAACATTTAGACTTATGTGGGAATTAGTAAGCATGATATTCATATTTGTTTAAATGATTTAAATTCCATTAGTCTTAACATATTCAGTAGAGTTAAGTTTTGGATTTTAGATATTCAATTAATTGATGGATGTGTTTTTTTATATAGATATGGCATTTAATTTTAAATTTGCTTATTATTATAGGTACTTCTGTTTGTGTATTTTAGAGGTGAAATTATTTATGATAGAAAGAAAATTGCAATTAATTATTTAAAGTTATGGTTTTGGTTAGATTTTTTAGCAGTATTACCTTATGATCAAATGTTCAATGCTGAAGAATCTTAAGCTTAATTAATAAAAATAGTAAGATTGTTTAAGTTTATAAAAATTGTAAGATTGTTAAGAGTTCTTAAAATCAGTAAAATACTTTAAAAATTAGAAGGTAAATTCATTAATTAAAATTTTAATAGAATCTTTTACATTGGCTTAATCATTTTAAGAAATTATTTAATTTTTAAAGATTGCATGTTTAATTTTAAGTATTGCTCATTGGATAGCTTGTATATGGAATATTATTGAATATACAGATGAATAAGTTAATCTTACATGGATGCATAAATATGGTATAGATAATGCAGATTGGGAAATCAAATATATTTCTGCTTTTTATTTTAGTGTAACAACTATGATAACAGTTGGTTATGGAGATATTAATGCAAATACACAAACTGAAATGATATTTGCTATATTTGCTATGGTTTTAGCATCAGCAATATTTGGTTATAGCATGTCTAGTTTTATGCTAATAATAGAAGGGGAAGATGAGAAAATATAAGAGTAAAGAATTTAGAATTCTAAAATTATTAGGTATATTTATTATATATATATATTTTTAGATATATTAAATAAAAAAGTATACCAAAAGAATTATAAAGTAGAGTTAAAAATTATTTAGAATGGTTAGCAGGATCAGCTCAGATAGCTAGAAATTATGAATAATATGTATTAAGAAGTTTATCAGCAAATTTAAAAACAGAAATTATATGTTTAATGAATGGAAGAATTTTACATAAAGTATAATTATTTAGTAAAGAATTTACTCCTTAATTAATTAATAAATTAGTTTATGTTTTAAATGAATAGATTTTAGGACCTGAAGAATATATTTTTAAAGAAAATTCACTTGATAATGATAAGATATATTTCATTTAAAATGGTTAAATTAATATATGTATAACTTAAAGAGAAACTCTCTTAAAAACATTATAAAAAGGAGATTATTTTGGTGAAATAGGTTTCTTTGGGAGAAAACCAAGAAATGCTTCTGCAAAATCAATTGATTTTGTTAATGTAATGAGTTTAACAAGAATTGATTTATGGGAGGCAGCAAAACCACTTGAAAGTGATTTATTAAAGCTCTATTTTATGAAAGATTGTCTTGAAGTTGAAAATAATCTCAAACCATTAAAATTAAGATGTTATATATGTGATAGACCACATCATATAGCCAAAAATTGTACAGTCTTTCATTATAGAGTAAGCAGAAAAAATATCATACTAGAATATTTTAATCATGAAAATATCAGATAAAGTTAAGATAGAAAAATTAATAAAAAAGTTAAATATAATTTATATAAAATATAAGAGGCTGCTCTTAAATATTAAACTAATTAAAATAGATGTGAAAAGCAAATTAAAATATTATAAAATGATTATATTATTTAAGATGTAAAAATAGCTTTTGATATTGATAAACAAAAAGAATATTCAGAATTTTTTAATGAATTTAATATTACTAATGTTGCAAAAAATATTAATTTCTTTGCTGATATGATTTTAACTGAAATTGAAGAAAAAAAAAAATCAAGATCCCAATCTAGACAAACTTAAAAAAGACTAAAAAATTAAACTATTGCACCAAGATAATCAAAAGCTACTATTGGAAATATGGAAAATATATTAAATAACAAATCATTAGAAAATTCTTCATGTTTATCTTCAGAAAATTCAATTAGTTGTATTGACAGATTAAAAAGTAAATCTAAAAGACTTCTTGATCTATAATCTTAATATCAGTATGTAAATATTATATATTCTAATATAGTGTTGCAAGAAGATCATTAACAAATACAACTCCAAAATAATTTGATTTAATAAATAATCATAATATACTTGTAAAAAAGATAAAGAATCTAAAACATAATAGAGTATCTTCAGTAACTAGATTTACCTAAAATTATAATGCAGAATTATATATTTTTAAGAAGGAAACATTTATGAGCAAATTCATCCCACAATTATTATATAACACAAAATTCAACTAATTTAAAAATTGATTATAATATCTTATTCACATATCTCCTTATATTATTATTAATATTTATAATACTCAATATTATCAAATAAATAGCTTCATCAATTTTTATCTTAAACTTATGATACTTAACTACTAACAAGATTTGCTATTCCAGAATGCATTAATTTCATTGTCATATGAGCTTTCTCTTTTTTTAATTTAGCAATTTATTCTTATAAAACTTTATTTTATTCATTTAAATCATCATATTTAATTTATAATTCAGAATTTTCATTTTTCAATAAATTAATCTAATTTTATAATTCTTTAATATTCTACTTTAAATTTTATATTTTATCATTAAAATTATCTTAAATTTATTAATTTTCCATTTTCAAATAATTAATTTACTCTAAATTATTTTAATTCTATTATTATAATGAATTTATTTAATTATCATAACTTTAGATGAGTTTTAATTTCTCTTTTTTTATTTAATTTAACTATTCTTATAATTTTAAATTATCTTCTTATAATTTTTATAATTCTATATTATTATTTGTTTAAGAAGAAACTTTCATTGAGCTTGATTTTGCAATATGATTTTCTAAATTTTAATTTATATCACTTAATCTTTATATATCATCTTCACATGTCAATAATTATTATTCTAAATTCTTTATTTTTGCTAATTAAATAGAATTTTATTTATTATTAAGTTTAATTTGATCATCATATGTACCTATTCTCAATTCTAATTCTTTAATTTTAATTTCATAATGTTAAATCATTTATTTATTTTAATTTTAAATATCATCAATAGTTCTTTATTTTAATTCATAATCTTTCAATTTCTTTTCATTTTCTTTTATTTTTTATTCTAGATTTCTAATTTAATAATCCTTATCTGTTTATTACTTATCTGTTTCATTTGATCTAAAATCTCTTTTTATTTAATTAACAATTGGTAATTGTTATTCTTAATTTTTTTTTTAAAGAGCTTGAATTTACTATTCAATAATTAGTTTTTATTCTTCAAAACGCTTTAATTATTTAAATATAACATTACTTATTACTATTCTTTTTATTCTCTTAAAGATTAATCATATTTATCTTTAATTTCTTTTAGATTTTATTCTAAAATTTCATTTTGATTAATTAATTCAACATTTTTTATCTTTAATTGTTTTATTTGCTAAAATATATTACTTTAAGATATACCTCCAAAAATTATTATTTTTCATTTGATTAAATTAAATCATTTTATTTTCTTTTTAAAATTTCCTCTTCTTATAATTTTTATTATAATTCTTTAATTTATTAATCTTTTTATTATTCTATTTAAATACTCACTTCAACCCTTTATTTTAATTCTTCATTTTATTATTTTAATTATTTTATTTAATTATTATATTAATCTTATTCTCTATTGCTCTTTTCTTCCATTAATTCAAGTTGAGCTTACAAAGTTTTTATTTTATTTTCAAAATCTCTATTAATTTCAAATACTTAATCTAAATGATGTAAAAGTAAATCCATTTCTTCCTTTTTATAAGCTAATTATTATTCTAATTATATATTTTTATCTGTAAATTCATTATTATCTGATCTTCTTGTACTAGTTTATTAATTGTTATAATTTTAATTAAAATTTCCAATCATAGAATTTAAATCTTAAATTTATTTAGTCATTGATAAAGTCTTATTTTATGAATCCTTTGTTAAATTTTAATATGCTGCTTCTTAGGTGATCATAATTTATTCAAGATTTTCTGCTTTTTTCTATACTTTATTTAATTAATCTACTAAAGTCTTGTTTTCTTAAATTAATATTGATAATTTTTATTCTAAATATATGATCTATTATTATTATTAATTAATTTATGATTCTTTCTAATTTATAATTATAATATATATTACATCAGAATTCAATTTATTTAATTTTTCTTCATAATGTTATTAAATTTATTATTTTTCAATAATACTCATTTTTTATACTTCTTCTAATTTACCATTTATATGATGCTATACCTTCAATTGTTAATTAGAAATTAATTATTTATGAGTTTAATCTAATTCAACAATTTATTAACTTAAAATATCATTATGTTATTTTAATTCAAGTATCATTTTTTCATATTATTGTTATTTTTCCAAATTTTAATTAATCATTTATTTTGTATTTATTTCATATTTCTCTAAAGAATTGTTATAATTATACTATAACTATTCAAATTCTTATTATTTTTATACTAATGTTTATTAAGTAAAACTTAAATCAGTTATTCTGCTTTCTAAATTTTAAATAATAATTACATAAATTTTATTATAGTTCTTTATTCTAAACTAATAAGTTATTAATGAGATCCTATTAACTTTAATTATCCTTTTATGTTATTGCTAATTTAGTATTTAAATTATTTATAATAGCCTCATTTTCTGTTCTTAATAATACATATTATTATTTCCAAGTAGATTCTAATGCATTTAAATTCTCTTATGCTTAAAATCTAATTGCCTACATATCTCTTTAATGAATTAATTATGTATTTGCCATAATATCATCAAATTATCTTTTATTATTTACTTTTTCTTAATCAATAAGAATAATTTATTGTTTCAATTAAATGTTTTCTTATAGTATTATATCGATTTACTTTTGTTATTCTCTAATTCTATCATTACATTATTATAATAAAAGTTTTAACTATTTTATTTAATATATAATTACATCATTTACTACTTATTATAATGGCTACAATTATGCAATTTATCTTAACAAATCTACATTCTATTCTTTTAAATTTCTAAATTATTAATCATTAATTGGACTATTTTATACAAATAATTGAATTGGTTATGGAGGTTGTGCAGGTGTACCTTATTTAGGTAAAACGGATACACTTTATGTCATTCTATTATTAGGAGTTTAGTTCTGACTTTATTCAAAAGGGCTTTAAGGACTTTATTATTGGTTAATATTTATGGTTTTAGTATTTGACTGAGGATTTTATTCTTATATCTTACCTAATCTATTCAAAAGTTTTGAAATATCACTAAAAATAGTTTGATATTGTTTGATACTTTTGAAATTATTTTTATTCTTATATAATAGATTAAACTTATTATAGTTTGTCAGAATCTTTTAACTAATTTTTTTCTTAACTTTCTTATTTATTCATATTAGGAAAAATCATTTTATATTGCTTCATTTCATCTTGGTCATCTTATGAACTAGATTTATGAAATTAATACTCTTTTGGTTATTATTGTTTTTAAATTAAAGCACTTATATTGCTAAGTTTCTCTCCAATAGGTTTTCTTTCCATTATGATATGAAAATCAATTTATTTAAATTAATTATTATGTATTTTAAATATATTGTTATAAAAATAATAGATAATAAATAGTAAATTATTATTATCAAAATATATCAATACTTTTGATACTTTAGTATCTATTAGAACTTAATTATTTTAATTAGTTATACATGAGTGACAATTATTAATCAGATTATTATTTATTGTAATTTAAAGAATTCTAAATATTAAATTATATAACAAATTATTTACATTATCACGATACTATTCAGATTGAAAGTCAACTGAATTTCTTTATTATGTCATCTCTCCAAAAAATGAATTTTTATGTCTTGTTAAAGATTGAATAGGTAACAATTTTTTTACTTATCTTATTTATGCCTAAAATTATTAATAAATATACCCTTTCAGGTGAAAATTATTAAATACACTATTAATCTTTATTTCCTTCAGCTATTTTCTCTAATTTCTTCAAAATATAATTATCTATTGGAGATTATAAAAATCCATCATCATTCTTTTTCATATATTAAGAAGATGATTTCTATTTTAAAGGTAATTTTAATGGAGAGTATAAATTTATTAAATTACTTTAAATAGGTTTGATTTATAAAGTAGACATTATATCTGTATCTTATAATAATTGTTACGATTCATTAATTAAATTCATCTTTTCTTTTAATTTTTGAATTTTGTTAATGCTATCATTTTCAATAGAACTCTCATTTTTACTTTATGTCTTCTACAATAAAACATTTGGATCAAGATTTCTAATATTTCTTCTCTTTCTACTTATAACTCCATTATTTATTTATGATTTTTCATTTCCAACATATAAACCCAAATTTTAATCAGAAAACATTAATCCCTAAGATTATAATTATTATCTCTATATTTTTTTTTCTTCAATTAAAAAATTATAATAATTCTCTCCCTATTTTGCTAATTCTTATTTATTTTATAATGTATTATTAATTTTCTTTTATTGTTCTTTATTCTATTTCTATATAGATGAGTCCTTTAATAATTTTTTCTTTTTCTAGAAATAAAGTGATTCTATTAATGTTAATTGATTTTTCATTATTTATATATTTATTTATATATTTTTCAATAAATTTATGAATAAAATTACAATTGTAATCATATCAAGTATCAAATTCATTACCTAATTTTTCATTCTTGAATTCATTTTATAAAATGGGATTAATAATCTATTAATCATTTAATTTGATTGTATTTAGTTGATACTTCATATTCTAAATCTAAAACTCTTTCTATTGATCTACACCTTCTAATTAATTAATTTTCTTTTATTAATCTTTAATTTAAGCAGTCAACTCATTAATTCGTTTAGTAAAGAATTCAAATTAAGTTTCAGCCTAATATTGAGGTGATGTATTTTTTAATTAAAACAATTATAATTCTAATTATTTATTTTTTTTATCTGCCAAATTTAATTTCTATTCTAATTCTTCAATCAATTACTTTTAAATTACCAATTAATCAAAACTATCTATAAATTTATATATATATATAATTATTACCTCTTTATTTATATTCATTTAAAATATCATTTAATTCTTCTACTCTCTATCTTAAAGCCTTAATTAAAGATGTCACATTAGTTCCATCGGGAATTACATATTCTTCTTTTTTCAAAAGTTCTAATTCAGTAATAATTTCTTATCTTGACCTTATTAATTCTTCTACTTCAACTAAATAAACTCTTCTTTCTTCAGAAATTATAGAAATTTATTAGACTAAAAATGTAGCAGCCTCTTTTTATTATTAATCACCTTGAGCATCAATAATTTATAGTATTCTTTTATTTAATTCATGATTCTTCATATCAAATTCTTAATGAATAGATTAAATATTTTATGTTAATCTATCAATTTAATATTTTAAAGCTCTAATTTATTCTTCCTTTCTTGCATTATCCTAAAGTAATTAAGTCCATTTTCTACTGCATTCATTATCTCTACTTTCCCACTCAATTAATTGTTTTTTTAATTATGTAAGTTCTCTAGAATTTTATTCAAGCATTTATATATGATGTTAAGGACTATATATATTTATACAATAATATTACTTTCCTGAAACATTAGAGAGTAATTAAGTAATTTACTTTTTTTATCCTTAAATTTCTTCATCTTTTAATTATAATATTTTTCTTAATTATTAGATTTCAGACTTAATAATTATTAATAATATAAATATACATTTTATATTGCTATCTTCTTTCCAATATCTGTTATCTTATATTCTTCTATTTCTGCTTATCTGAGTTCATTCTCTTTTCTACATAATTCTAATTTAGTTTATAAATCCTTTGTAAATGGTTCTACTGATTGATACTTTGTCTATAATAATAGTTTATAAATATTTAATATACTTATATATTATTAAATTCGCTTGATAATTTCTCATATCTAAATTATAAATCAAGAAATGCTTATGACTTTTTATCATAATCAGCCTATTATTATAATACTTATGTTCTTAGATCATTATTTTCTCTTTCTAATTAGGATATTATTTATTATGCTGTTTCAATATTTTTATTTTTAATCAAATCCTAAGTTGTATCATCTATTTTTTATTTCTCTGCCATAAGTATAGAATCAGGACTAAAATGTTTTTATTAAAATGGAATTTATTAAGAAGATTATTATTAAATAGTTGGTGTTTGTTAATTTTAGAATTCTAAATTTTTCTATTTTACAAAATCAACAACTGATATCTTCATATCTTTAACTGGTTAATTAGGTTTCTTTTATTTATATGCCATCTTTGTATCACTATAAAATGTATAAAGAATTGGGTATTTTCCAAATTAGATTATGTCTCCACTAAATATTTCAAATTATTATCCTTTTCCTACATTAACTCCATTTACAAATGTTCCATTAAGTGATTACTTATCAACTATTAGAACTTTATCTTAAATTAAAATTTCACAATGTTGTTTAGAAATAGATGGATGCTATTCTTAATAATATAATAATTACATCTATTTTAAGATGACATTTATCTAATCTACCTACAACAAATACTTTAGATTGAATTTAAAGTGGTTAGCCATCTTCAGGCATTAAACATGGATAACTCATAAAAATAAAATTATTGAATTTATTAAAAAGAAAAAAGAAATAATAATATGTTGAGACCTAGATATATATCATATAGTTCAAATATCACTTAAGGAGGATTATAAGCAATCTAATAATCAGTAAATCAAGACTAATTTAGTAATGTTTCTTATATATTAAGGAAATGGTAGTAGTACTAAATAGTTAGCATAAAAGTTTGTACCATTTATAAAAGAGAGAGATAGTATGAATAGATTAGTGACAAAATTACAATCAATATCACCAGAAAGGACTGAAAGAAAGAGTTCATGTGGAGCAGTTAATTATAGTAAAGAGAAGTGGAAACAAAATTCATAAGTTAGGATAAAGAGTCCAACTAAGAAAGTTCTTATATAGAATGAAATTTCATTAAGTAATCTCTAATGATTATATAAGGTAAATAGAGAAGTTTTTCTAATGTTGATAATAAATTGAAATTAATATAAGCCTATACTGATAGACTTCATATTAATTAAGATGAATCAATTCAATAGATTAATATGAATTAGGATGATATTAACTTTTAACTTCAAATGAATAATCAAGAGAATATGAAAGTTAATACTTAGAGATCTCCAATTAAAATTAAAGTTGTTAAATAAGATAGTTTACATAGTGATATATTGAATAAGAAGATTTAACATTAAAATTCAGAAAAATTAAAATTGTATAATCAATTAGTTGAGAAGCAGAAATTAAATTATAATGGAGAAATTAGAAGAAGTGATATAAAATTACCAGCTTTATTATTCAAATAATATATGAAAGAAATATTAGATGGAAACTAAAAAATAAAGGAAGTAATCAATTCTTAAGATGAAATTAAATATGAATTTCCACCTGAATTTGAATAAAAGATTATATAAATGAAAAAAGATGTTAGAAAAATGAAAAATAAATTGAAGAATTGGGAAAAAGATAGAAGAACATCAGAAGACTTAAGACATTTAAAGGAAGTTGCTGATTCTATTATTCAAAGAAATGAATGATTTTTATTTATTTATATATATTTTATATTAGAATTCTAAATAATCATGAATTAATTTTGTTTAATTAATGAGAAATGTATGGTATAATTGCTTGCTTAAAATCTTATTTATTAATTTTTATTTGTCATGTCCGACATTGATGAAGAGTCTTCGAAGTTATTTTCGTAAGATTCTATGCAAGAGGAGGAAGATGATGAAGATTAGAGATTAGACAATGATGACATTTGGAAGGTCCTTCGAATGTTTTTTTAAACTCATGGATTAGTCTCATAATAAATAGGCTCATATGAATCCTTTGTTGAAAATGTGATCAAATTCGTGAGAGGACATGAAGGTACATTTGTTGTCAAAGTCAAACCTTAATATAAGGAAGAAGAGCGGCAAGAAGGTAATATTTAATACTACTCTCTTTATAGCTCATCTTGAATACCTATATTAATTCTAAATCACAAGATGTTTTATGGGAAAAAAGAATATTCATGTAGATAAATTTGAGGAGGAAATTTTTCCAATGATTGCTAGATTAAGAGATCTTACTTATTCAAGATAATTAAAAATAGACTTGGAAGTAACAATGTAATAAAGAAATAAACGGGATGGTTCAATAGAGGAGAAAAGTAAATAATAATTTAAAGGACTTCCTTTTTTCAAATTACCAATTATGGTAAGAAGTAGATTTTGTTCATTGTAAAAAGATCCAAAAGATTAAGAATTAATATAATTAAGAATATAAAATGGAGAATGTGGATTTGATTAAGGAGGATATTTTATATTAAGAGGATCTGAAAAAGTTATAGTTGCTTAAGAAAGAATAGCAAATAATGTAGTGTTAGTTTTTAAAAGTAAAATAGTAAATAAACCTTGGGTGGCTGAAATTAGATCATAACCAGACTTATTTTCAAATCCTAATGTTTTTAAAGTAGAACTTCGATATATATAAAATACTCCTGTTATCAGATGTAGTGTGAAATAATTTAATTCAACATAAGGAATACCATTATTTACTTTATTTAGAGCCTTAGGTATTAGTAGTGATTAGGAGATTTTGGAAAGGATAGTATATAATTTAGAAGATGAATTTATGGGTCCAATGTTAGAAATGTTATATGGTTCATTGTAGGAAGGTGGTGAATATGAGGATGAAGAATTATGTCTTAGATGGATAGGAAATAAAATAAAAAAAGCTGAAAATTAAGATCCAGAAACTTTAATTTAAGAAGCTAAAAAATTAATTAATAAGAATATCTTACCACATATAGGTGTATCTACTGAAAGTAGAGATAGAAAAGCTTATTTTTTGGGTTATATAGTACATAGATTATTAAATGCATCATTGGGAAAAACAGATTAGGATGATAGAGATCATTATGGTAAAAAGAGATTGGATATGGCAGGAGCTATGATGATGGGAGTATTCAAAACATCATTTGAATAATTTAAATAGAATTCTAAAAAGGCATTAGAAAAATATATTAATGGAGGGAGAAGAGGAAGAGGATAATAAACAAAAATTGAGAATATGAGATAGCCTGATGATATTAAATCCTTTTTTGATGGTGAATAAATATCAAAAGATATTGATAATGCATTGGCTACTGGAAATTGGGGAAGAAGTAAGGAAGGTCAAGTTGTCAAAACAGGAGTTGCTTAAACATTAAAAAGAGAGACATCATTATTTGCAACTCTTAGTCATTTAAGAAGAATGAATGCTCCTATTAATCCATAAATGAAATTGAGTAAAC